GCCGTTTAGGAAATGGAAGGCTCAGCCTCCAGGTTGGCCAGAAAGGTTCTCAGTGAATCTAACCGAAGTCTTGGCGAGTGTACAAAAGGTAAACCTATCATTTGTACTTCATAACGGAATTGTGCACAAAAATGCGCACGCACGCACTCGCGTGCACACACACAAACACTGTACAAACACACACGAAAGTACAAGCACATGTGCACATACATGTACACACGCCTCTCCCCCCCCCCCCCCCCTCCCCCCCACACACACACACTCAACTCCCCACCCCCTGTACCATGTGTACTGAGTCTGACAGACAGACACACAATCATGTTTATGCTTCCTTCGCCACCAGTTTCGGATAATGGTGTCAACAACGAGTTGTAAAATATTGGTATTTTAGCACTCCCTGCCCTGATTCCCTGAACTGCTGAAGACGCCCCCCCCCACACACACACACTCAACTCCCCACCCCCTGTACCATGTGTACTGAGTCTGACAGACAGACACACAATCATGTTTATGCTTCCTTCGCCACCAGTTTCGGATACTGGTGTCAACAACGAGTTGTAAAATATTGGTATTTTAGGACTCTCTGCCCTGAACTGCTGAAGACGAGCACAGCGCCGTGGATCGAGCAGATCCGGCCGCGCCGGCCTATACCTACCCTACCTAGCGTGCTTCACTTTCTGGCCGAGGCAAACATCGTCCGCGTGCGCGCATCCCGTGTCCTCTCCCGGGCTTTCACGACTCCCTGGGCTTTCACGACTCCCTGCACTCGAGTACTCTCGAGTCAGTCATGACGTCGATGCGCATATGCATGCATGATGCATGAATGCGATGATTGATGGTCGACGAACCTTCGAACGAGTCGAAGTCGGACTCGTACAGTCGAAGGACAGGAGAGCTCAAAGGTCAAGAACTTTGATCGCAGTTCAGAAGAAATCCAAACCTCGACTCGAGAGTCGAGCGAGGCGAGGTGGTTCTGAGCTGAACTCAGTTTTTGAACCCAACTAAAAAGTGTTTCAAGTCTTCACTATTCACAAGACGGGCAGGAGGAGGTTCATTATCAGTGTAGAGCATGCATGCAGGGCATTGCTGTGCTGGCATTGCGCATCGTCTGCTTTCACGACGCAACGAATAGGTCATTGGATTAGATCCCAATTGATCGTTGCTGTTTTTCAGGGTCTGCAAGTAACTAGTTTCGGTGTGTAGCAGATGAGACGGATTGTGACATGGCGTGGAGACCGGAGATGGATGCATACATCCTCGGTCAAAGAATAATGACCAATTTTGGGGTATGCCTTGGCGGTGGAATGGCATACTATGCTACAAACGCGTTACGAGTAGATCTGGATATTTGCTCGTTTGGCCGAGAAGGAGCCAGGTCGATTCTCTTCGGTACATTCACAGGAGATGTCACTGAGTGCCGGAATGGTCCCGGAGTGCCTTTTCGCACATTCGCCTCCGGTGGCAATGATAGTGCGACAGTGGCCTTGCTGGGCTTCCTTCTCATTCAGATGCTGATGGCGATGATTCTGGTGGGAATAGACACATTGCACTATCGACTGAGGATGCTGAGCCAAGTGACATTCCTATCGCTGATACAGACAGTGTGGCACTGGCTCACAGTGCCCTGTTACATCTGGGTGCTGGCGCTGCTACTGCACGGCTTGAGCGTGTCGTGCAGCACGAATCGTGGGCACTGGAAGGACGCTTTCTCCAACGTCAAGCATTTGCCCACACCAAACAGCTGCCAGGATGCCTGGATGTACCGCTGGACAACGGAGGGTCATCATTCGTTCTCGCCGTACATATCATTCAACATGTCTTTCCTGGCTGTCCTTGGTTTGTGTCTATCACTGCTGTTTCATATCCTCAACATGGCTCTGCTGATGCCACAAAGCTTGCGGTGGATCAAGGACTTCAAAACCAGCTTTTCGCTGGCTAGGCATCCAGTGTTTCACATCCGACGTCCAGGTGAAGAGGAGGACTTCTAACTTGGCGCTGTGAGATTGCTAAAGCTCTTTGGCAACTAGTTCCTGTTCCAGGACATCAATGGGTGCTCTCCTTCGCGTTTTCCGATGCTAATAAAACCAGTGAAGAGTGATGTGCTGAAAACAGCATTGGAATGTGAAGGTATTCAAACTGTGCATGCATACAATGTACGTCATACAATAGCTGGGTTGGAGAGAGCAGCAACCTTACAGCAGGCTTCAAAAAATGTTCCGCATGACCGCGTGATTGCCACGTGACATCCTGTTTTATTAGTGAATTATGGTGAAAGGACTTGCACAAAATTAATGGTGAGCAGGCTAACACGTACAGTAAGTCATGTGGTGCCGTATATCACTATGCTCTGTGGAACATGCGGCAACCACCTGCTCACTGTCTGTATACAGTGTGTGTGTAGAGCCTGGGAGTCTGTAAACTGAACCCATCCCGACATCTCATTCTGTTACTCTGATCGGTGGTTGTCTACAGTACTGCATGTAGGCAAGGTACAGCTGTGCTACACTAACACGTTTCCTTCTGTAATGCTCTGTAGCATGTTGGCATCTTGGTTTGTGTAATGTAGTTCTGGTGGACCTTCAGTGAATGATACAACCAAAACATCTGTATTGAGAGGGATGTACCAAGACTGTAAACTCTGTGGCTCAGGATAGAAAGAGAGCCTCTGAAAGAGGGGAAAGAGTGAGTGTGTGAGAGACAGTGTGTGTTTGTGTGTGTGTGTGTGTGTGTATTATGTGTATGTGTGTGTGTGTGTGTGTGTGTGTGTGTGTGTGTGTGCATATGTGTGCATGCATTTGTGTGTGTGTGTGTGTGTGTGTGTGTGTGTGTGTGTGTGTGTGTGTGTGTGTGTCGGTCTGTTGGTGTGTGTGTGTGTGTGTGAGAGAAAGAGAGAGGAAAGTGGCAGAGTTACAAACAACGATTATCAATTTATCATGCAACTTGTGGTCCACAACAGGCTGCCTAAAAACAAGGGGTAGCTAGGTGAGGAGGGGAACGCGCAAACATTAGGATCTAGTTACCATTATCAGCTCTATACTGAGGAGTGCGGTGCATGCTTGTGCGCATGCTGGAAACACCACACCGGTTCCGCGATCCGATGATGGCTGCTAGTGTACTACGCGTATACGTGCAGCTGGTTGGTCTACAGTGAGCGGCTAGCAATTCAGGTAGATCTACATGATGATGATGATGATGGTGATGATGATCATGATGATGATCATGATCATGTGCTTTGCGTTCCTTTTCATATTGAGTTCCAGTGCACTTTGTGTTCATTTTCCGCTCTTTTCATTCTAATTGAATTTTGATGTACTGCGTTTTTGCTTGCCCGTACAAGAGGCTATTCCATGACGATGATGATGATGATGATGCAAGCAGGCCAGATAAGAGTCTGTGGAATGCTGCTACTACCTTGCATGTACATGTACATGTAATTATTATTTGAATGATTGTTATACAGTCAACTAATATACTTTGCGTATAACGACATTCGGCCGGGCATCAGAAAAGTGTCCTTATTCGCGAAGTATCGTTATAACAGTTACCCGAAGTCTCATTATAATGTATACAATGGACTCTAGGCTAGGGTAGAATGGACTCTAGGCTTTGCTCTGGGCATGATATTCTGTCCTTATTCGCGAATTGTCGTTGTATCTGCAGTCGTGCGAACTGCAAAGTAACAGTTGACTGTACCACCAGTACTGCATGGTAGCCCAATAGGGCTTGAAAGTGATGACGTCAAAACGGCCAGGGAGTAGTAAGTTGACATCAGATTTCTATTTTTGGATCCACTAAGGTGTGACTTTGCTATTGCCTAAGTATGTGGGTGCATAGCAACCCACTCATGTCGCATGCAGGTGTGACTTTTATTCGCCACCAGTTGTAACCCCGCCCCCAGTACCCAAATCAGTCAGTTTCACTGGCTACATCACCATGCTGTGGGTAAGACCGCTTGAAATGTGCTTGGATCTATACAAAAACTGGATCCAAGTGGATCCAGTTTTTGAATTTTTGAAATTGTTGCTATGCTGTGACGTAGCACTTTCAAGCCCTATGCTGGGTTGATCCTGGTCTCTGGTAGTGAAATCACTGACATTTACTTCTGTTGTATCCGGTGTGGACGCCGCTACTAGAGATGCTAGTGACCAACATACCTTCCTTGAAGTGGGTTAGTTCCTTCCCAGTCACACTTCCCTAGGCCCTGCAACTGCACACACGCCTACCACTAGTCATGTGCTTGCAAAACGTGCAGCAATGCTGGCAGCATGTTGAAAACACACTCCCTCTGGAAGCAGACCAGAGCAGTGGACTTCAGAGACGTTCCATGTACTGTAAGCGCTGGTATGAGGATCCTGTTTCGCACCTCAGCTCCTGCATGATGTGCACAGGGAAGTCAAACTCCAGTAATGCTCGACTTGCCACTCATTAGCACCTATCTTTGTTGTTCCGGAAACTGTAAGCCAGGCATGAAAGGGGGGATCAGTGAGGAGTGACACCAGGCTCGCATTGCTACTATTGGTTAGCATGGAATACTAGTACAGTTAGAGAGACGTTATTTCTGACGTGACGCAAAAGTTCAGCTCGCGTTATTAGTTCGGGGGCTGGAAAACAACCCAAGAGACCTGCAACACACCTTGAAATTGGGAGTTTTACGCCAAATTTGACGTGAAATTGCGCGTCACGTCAGAAATAACGTGCACATCCTCTCCATTGTCAATGTTCACGCGCGATACGTAATGATATGCCACAGTTCCGAACTGGCCGGTTATATTACATGTACCGGTGTAGATCTACCTGCTGGACGCGCGAGGTCGACTTACATTTTATGATTTAGTAAAGCCAGCGCCAGAAATTTCGGACTTGACCTTCTGCTGGTCCAGTTTTACGTGTTGACTTCCGGAACTGATTGCGGTGGTACATGATGTGCTATTCGGCGATATGTGCCAAGTAAGTTCTAGTTCTAGCTCTCATAGGTGGGTGGGGATCGATCGCCGATGTAGTGCTATTGGTGATTCAGGCGACTTGCCATTGCGAGATCTGAGCGATCGAGGAATTTGAAAGTTAGTTCGGACGACCAAGCTCCAAAGTCGATACAAGCTTCCTCTCCTCGGAACGCCTTAGCCTCTCATCGGTAGTACCTCGTGGCAATAATTGATTCTCGTAGCTTGAAATCTGCCAAGCCATCATGGGCGATCGCATGCCTCAGGACAATCATCAGACCGGTGGAGGAGTGAGTGGTAATGAACCTACTGTCACTGATCAAACACCGGTGGACAACAGCTATTTTTCGTTCCCCGGTGGTCGACAAAGCAGCAGCAGCAGGCGCTCAGAAAGACACACCAGCTGCAGGCCTAATGACCCGTTCCCGTCGTTGACACGCGGCCAGCGCCAGAGCACCACATCCACCGCAAGCGTTAGCAAGCGAAAGCCGCAGCCCATTCCTCGATCAGCAAAGTCCTCTGTTTTCCCAAGCGTTGCCCAGTCTCGATTCTTCACGAATCCGGAGCCAGGAATTATTTATGCCGAAGCGGACCAGGAGCAGGAGATCTACGAGGAGCCGATTTCTCAACCGAAAGGCGGCTATGGGTCGACAGCACCGAGTAGTTCGACATGCAATGTGACAGGGACTGCTAATGGCAGTAATGGCTCGAAGAGTATCAATAGCACGACGCCATGCCACCAGAAACAGCAGGCCGGCAGCGGCGCCGACGAGGCGGAGGATGGCGAAGAAGAAGACTACGGCTTCTGTGCTGCTTCCGGCAGCAATCCGCAGTGGGAGCTGGTGTACAAAGAAGCGGACGGCGAAGCTCCGCGTACGAGCAAGGCAAAGTTCGGTATACAGGACTCAAGTACAACACAGCTTCTGACGAAGGTAAACTCACTGTGTCATTTCTGTAGATCTACATTATTATTTTGATCCTTTTGTCTGGGTGATGATCTCTCATATTATTCAAGGTATCCCGGTCAGGCTGAGTTTTCAGACCGCATCGGTAGGAACTCTACCACCCTCAATGATCAAGGCCATCTCACGGTGATCTCCCAGTAGGATATGAAACCAAAATGATCTCTATATGAGCATTGGCAAACTGAACTTCATTTATAAAAAGTAAAAAAAGGACCAAGGAACTACAAGTTTCACTAATGTCCACTAACACCACCAGTTACTAAACAGTCAGCTCATGCGATAACATTGCACGACACTGACCGACGGTACTGACGTTCTACAACTAACTGATCCGTTTTACTTTTTATAAATAATCCTTGGCTCTCCATCCGAGTTGAACTTCATTTGTTCATACTTCAAGTACACGTCGATCATGTGAGCACATGGATGAAACGTATCCATCTTTTATTATTGGCAGTGCGACTCGTACTCTGATCCTGCAAGCCACACTGCAGCTAGGTTTTTACTGGTCCTACTTCGGAGTGCAAGTCATGTATATCGGGGTACATCAGAGATATGCTAAAGGTTACGTTACACTCATACCTCTCTTGTCTGGTCGGTACTGGACTTGTCACTGCCCATAACTTCGAAATGTCCCTCACTCTGAATCACATACTTTTCATTGGGGATGGGCCAGAGTCCCAGTGAACTGGCATACAACGTCACTAGTGGGCCAATCACCAAAGCGGCTGTTGATGAACATTGCAGGTATACAAAACTCATCTTGCTCCATTCTCCTGTCATTCTTGGTTTTCTCGTGCAGCAGCAGGCGTCCAAGGTGCACGGCTGCTATTTCTACGGTACCTCGCTGACCTATACGGCACTCATGCTGGTGCGCTGTGCCCTGTTTGTGGCGCTGGTGGTGGTGGGCTTCACGTGTGTGTACAAGCTGGGAGAAGACAGCTCCGAGTGCGTCTATGTGCTGTTTGTTGCCAGTCCTGTAGGGAGTCCTAGCAGAGCTCGGCCAGCGCGCCGCATAACACCAAACAAGCCGCAGGTCACATCTGTCACGACGCGACCGAACACCTTGGCCACGGCCGTTCCCTCGGTTCCTACAGTTTCCAATGTTGGAGACATATCCACATTGAGACCACCATCCCCATCAGGACAATCAAAGCATTCACAAACATTGCCAAGCCAAACACCGACACATGTCACAGTGGCTGTAGAGACGGAAAGAGCGAATTATAATCGAACACGCAACGCAGAGCAGCACCGGCCGACATTCTCCAGCATTCATGCAATGTGGATAGGCACCAGTGTGCTCAACTCAGTACTGCTCTGTGTCTTCTTGGGCCGAAATGCGCAGCAGATCCAGATACCAGCGTGCCGAATGCTCTTCAGTCGACTCAAGGCCAGTAAGTACTTCTGGACTCAGTTGGTATTGCTTGGCGTGTCGCTGGTCTACGATGGCCGCTTCCTGCGCGACGCGTACCGCAACAAGGTATCAAACGACGTTTCCCCGGAGTTGGAGAAGGTGCATGCGTGGGTCCTTGCCGGCCGTGCGTTCAGCATTCTGGACAAGACGCTGGCGTTTGTTGTCGTCTGCGGCTTCAACTACGCCAAACCGTTCACCATCCCGCGCACACGCTTCTACTTGAAGTGGATGAAGGCGATGTACACGCTGACTCTGCTCATCTATGTTCTTGATCAAGGCTTCTCCGTGATCTTCGACGGTATGAAGGTATCCATGCAAGCAGTGACAAGAGGCTACGGCAGCCAGAACATTACATCGGGCACAAATTTCCGCAACGATGACAGCGACAGAGCAATCATGTTTTTGCTCATCCTGTTCAGCATCGCCTATCGGACACGCCTCCTAGAGTTCTTCACCGACAAAATCTTCTACCGCAACAAGGATGTGTTTGACATACCACGTAATACTGCCTGAATGTCGTCAATCTCTCCACTGCACTGCCTTTAGTAGGCTTTACCGTTTGTGTGTTTCTGACATCAGGCTATTCATGCTTTAAGTGCAGCATGCGTGCGGTCACACACGCCGTGTTTTTGGAATATAGTCAACGTTAGCATCAATAGTGGATTCTTATGCCTCCACTGAGACCACTGCATTCACTCAGAGCCAGGGTCGGCACAATGCGTAGACAGCTGTCATCACCAACCTCTCCGGCTGGCATCTCTCCTCCGCTCCAACATGCATATATTCCCAAGTTTGCTCCCGTTTGCCTCAAGCATTCTTCTAGTTTCGTGTTTGACCAGCTGCGAATACATAAGCTACATAATATTCATGTTTTTTTACTGCTACTGGGTGAATATGGTGCCCATGCATGTGAAGATGGGCGTTGCCCAAAAATTCGAATGATGATTTTCTATTCTTTCAGTGATTGGTGTAGGCCAGAGAGCACTTGGAGAGTGTTGTGAAGATCAGGGAGTCGTATAAACCCGGGTTTGCACGACTCCCTGGTGAGTTTATACGACTCCCTGATGGGTTTATACGACTCCCTGCTGGGTTTATACGACTACTCCCTGGTGAGGATGTACAGCTAAAATGGATGGCTACAGTGGAGTCTCAGGGGCGCATTGGGAAATGCATGTGCATAATGGAAACTATTATCTACTGCAGTACCATACTTTTGAAGTACATGTACATATTTTCCCGAGGGTCACATCTGCCGCCGCCACACACAGCCCATCATATCAATGTCCCGCTCTCTGGAATAAGTTGCCTGCATCTATACGATCACTGGAGAAATCCGGTCAATTCCGGACCGCTCTTGTATCCCACCTGAAAATTCCCTGACTATTAATTGTTGCTCACTGATCTAATAGTTAGTATGTAATCTTTACTCTGCTGTCTTAAACCCTACTCTATTTTCCTTTTTCATTATAATAATTATGTGTGCCTGTAGTCGATCTCATGTAATAAGGCAACACTGCCGGTTTGTTCTTCGACATTAAATAAACCAATCCAATCCATACAATTATATCAGGGATGAACTTATCTGGTATCGCATCGCAGTTTGCTATGCAAAATCGATGTACTGCTACTCAGAAATCACCACGACTAGCAGAAAACTGCGATATATACAGACTACGATCCATGCCAAGCTTGCGCCGTCAAGTAACATGCATACAGTGCAGTGTAGGTGGTACATGCCTATTCTCAATCTGCATGCACATGTATGATGCAAGTAACCACACGTAGGGTGGAAGCTAGCGGGACATGTACACAGACTTTTGTGCTAATCAAAAATCAAAGATTGCTACACAATTAAGATTATATAGCGAAAACTGCTATGCAAAACATAACCGCAATGAATTCATCCCCTGCATATTCACAAAGGCAGAAGGGAGCAGAGACAACTGGCTAGGTCATTGTTGTAATACTGCGCTTCATGCACATAGCAAAGCTAGCAATCCTCAGACAACTGATAATCTGTGCATCATCTGGCTACAAACTTACATAATATATCCAGGCAAGCAGTATAGTGTGACATTAAAGTAAGTGAGGCATGGTGCGGATGGTGTCAATTTCCATGAGAGATGAAACGAAGGAAGAGAAGGAGAGGTGACAGTCAAGTCGTAGCAACGGCAGGCAGGCCCCAGTGACGGCAGGCAGGTGACCATGGTGACTAAGTCACACCAGTATAGCGCCAGAGGTAGAACTTATTTTTGTGTCGATATGTTGAGACGAATTCTGATTTTTTTGTTTAGGAGCGTGGCTGCATCAGCGCGGATGATCTTCACCTTTTTTTCACTTCGAAGTGTGTTGCTGTACGTCTTGGCTCTGTCGCCGATGGACCACACAATGTCGTACTCTTTACCCTGGTTCTGCAGTGCCCACAAGTACTTTGACAGCTCCGTGATTTTCAGGTACTTTTTGTGCCTCATAGTGAAAACTGAAAAGCCAGCATGCAGAGATGGTCCAGAGTGGGCGGCGACAATTTAGTAACCATGACAATGACACGCATCTGCTCCCCAAGCAGCAGAACAATATCATGTTGATGAGTGCTGAGTGAAATAATCAAATAGCTCTGATTCCGACGTGATGTGCTGCTCCAACACCACGTGGTTCACCACGTCTCGATCAACGACTATGCCAATTTCCAAAAGCGTCTGGCAGACGTGGTCCACAAGCACCCCCCGATCGACGACGGCATCTGCCTTCTCGCAATGCTCGTCTTGACCGGCCATCCGCGGCGATACCCATACGCGCAGACCCCCAAACTCATTGGCGATACATTGGGCAAGCAGCGTCACCTCTGGATATTGACCCTGTTAGAACGGCACACATAGCAGAGTCACATGAATGCACTGGTAGAGCATCAAAGACAAAGTGCAGTCCTGCTCAATGAAATCCAGCCGTCGCGGCACTCAAGTTTGCACCTTGCACCATTCGGGAGCCCAGTGTTTCCAGATCGAGGGCTGTGCAACGCCCTCACGCGTACATACTGAGTGACAGGACTGGATTTCAGTGAGCAGCACTGTGCTGACGTCGTGGCATGTTCGCGGCGTGGGGCGTGGGGGGCTATGTGATCGGAAATCCACTCAATGATGTAGGCGAAAACCGGCACAGCGCATCGCTATCATTTCAGTATCAAACCAAGATAATGGCATAGCTCAGTGCATGTGAAGAAGGCGCGTGACTCACATCACTACGGCAAGTTCTCGAGTGCAAAACTATGTGAGTTTGCATGGGATATTCATGGTTTAAGATAAGCTCCCGGCAGTCCATACTCAGGTTCATCGACAAAAGTGCCAACTTTGTTCAGTAGAATGGGAGCTGTGCATAGTCTTCCTGCAAAAGTGTACTTTCGCAGGGTAACTCCACTCCAGTCATACACATTGCAATACCAGACCTGCATAAAGATCAAGACCTGTGTATGATCATGCTCACACTGACCAGCCAGCAATATAACACTCCCTGCTCACACTGTGAGTGTGACGGAGCACTGTCTTGGGCTGGCTGTACCTGCTAGATGCGGGGCAAGTTGCCCGCAAAAATGCCTGGGGCCATGTTTATGCATACATGCACATAGGTGCCCATCATGGCTCATCTCGTCGTGGAAATTCAGTATGCAGCACAGCGAGAATGGAAAACAATTATCACGCTACTCACCTTGGCAGTCATTTCCCCAAGAAGGGCATAATACTTTCTCTTTTCTGGGTTCATGGGTCCAAAGTTTGCTATTGGGTCGGCGTAAACGCCGAAACCAAACTCATTCATCCACATGTTCCAGAGCAGAATCAATGGGCCCTACAGAGGTGACAGAACGTGCATGGTTGGATGAGTTGGTGCCTTGAAGCTGAAAGGACCGCTGGCAGTCTCAGCACCATCAGCTTGTCCAACACCCAGTGCACACCACTTTGATTAGTGCTGACCAAAATGATGTCTGAACCCATGCACAAGAGCTATACAAAGGAAAGTGGGGCTTTTTTTTGTTGTAACTCAGACTTGAAACGGAAACTTTGTGTACCTCTTGTGTCCTGCGCGCTGCCCATCACGGGCATTCCTGTCAAGACTGAGTCATGTTACATACCTCCACAGCAGCATTGTGGGCCGGTGTTGGCGATGCTTTTGTTTTCATTGTGACCAGCGCGTTCCTGGCATTGGTACAGATTAGGTAAGCGACTGCCATTGTTTTGTCGACATGCTCCTTAATCAAGTCCTGACGTACATAAAAACATAATGGCACACAGAAGAAAAGGGATCACTTGATGATATGTGACATGCAGTGTTTATTTGAGTGTACAGTAAGATCGGGCGCCAAAGAACACCTCGCCGAAGAACACCCAGGCTGGAAAACCGGCAAAATTTAAGAACAGTCCAGGCTAGAATTATCAGATTTAAGAACACTTAAAATTCGAGTCGAGTTACGACTACATGTACGTTGTCATACATGTACTTACACGAAGTTGCGAATTTACACGTAGATCTACATTGTACATGTATGGGAGGTGAGTACATGTCATGTACACGTGTAAACAGTAACTGCTACATGTACAGTCATTCCCATTTACGACACCCACTAGTTTAGAACTTGAAGTAGATCTACTACATTGCACTACAATCATGTACATGTACATGTATATGTAGATGTACATGACAAACGTCATGACGTCACTCGACTCGCCGCACGCGTGTGAATAAGAACGGTCTGGCTAGAATCAAAAATTTAAGAACTTTCCTAGGCTGCGCTCGAGCCCCTGCGTTCTTCGGCGCCCGATCTTACTGTAGGCAAGTTGCCTATAAATGAATTATGTAAAATGAAGGTGAGCAAGGCGTCCCTCAGAACTGGGAAGAAAGGGGATATCTATGAAATAGTGAATGGTGCCATCCGGCTGTTCAATAATGCAACAATCTACCTACCTCGCCTTGTGTGTCGGGGTAATGAGTATTCATAGCTTTCAATTTTGATTACTGTTATTCTACAGTTTTTTAAGGGACTCGCCATCTCCATTGCAACCACTTACACATACAACTGTATGGAGTGTCTAGGAACCCTTATGTTATGCTACAGTACATATACTTGTGATACTATTCCGGGCTGGGCTGGCTCAATGAAATCAATTCGGCCGGCACTTCATTCGGTTTCTGTTCGATCACACAGTGCTGGCAACTGAAATCCGACCCCCTGAGCGGTGCGCTCACATTCTAGCGGTCTCTGTTTCGTAGTTTCACCTTCCCGTTTTGGGTCTTTGCGATGTGAGCGCACCGCTCAGGGGTCGGATTTCAGCTGCCAACACTGTACTGTAGTATGTTAGCGGGCAGACAGACAACATTGTAATGCGGTATACTAACCGGTGCCATAGCAAATGACCAACGGTAGGATTTCTTGATCAAGCTGATGTAGCTGTAGAAGATACTTGACGTCTGCAGAACGATGGGGGTGTACACAACTTGGCTTCATACCAAGAACTCCACAGCTGTTGTTAATAGGGGTGAAACGGTTACCCTTTAACTAGCTTTTAAAAGGTTACAAACGGGTACCTGGCTTAACGGGTGGGTTATCGGGTATCCTTTAGCAGTCGATAGTAAACAGTTACTAGTACTATGCAATAGCTGTCGGCATTTCATGCCAGAAGGACATGCACAGTCATGCAATTCGCAGCAAGTGCACCACATCGCGACAAGCGCAGCATACGCACTTACTGCGCTACATGAAACACAGTCCAAATATTAACTTAGGCTGTGTTTACATGAGGCGTTTCAACCCGGGTCAGATTTCAACCCGCCATGCACACAAAATGAATGGCGCGTTTACATGACGCATTGCGCTTGACCCAGGTTGAAATTTTGCCCCGGGTTGATTTCAACCCTCCCCTTGGGGGGAGGGTTGAAATCAACCCAGGTCAAAGATATTGTACTACGTACTTCTGTGCGTATCTCGCGCCAGGTTTGAACGGCACTGCACATGCAAATTTCGCGCGAAAGGATTCACGTGACCATACAGGACTCTAGAAGTGGAATTTTGGCGGCATATCAGTATTTGACCCGGGTCAACTGTCTTCATGTACACACTCACCTCTTTTTTCTATCGTACAGACTTTCAACCCGGGCTGAACTCGACCCGGGTTGAAATTTCTCATGTAAACACAGCCTAATTGTCATAAATAGCAGGATCGAACCAGCAACAATACAATCAAACTGTCCATCGCACTGTAGGACTGTACAAGCCAGCTAATGATACCGTACCGTACCGTTGTACACGACTAACGGGTACTCGTTTGCTAACGGACCAGCACTAAACAGACGGGTGCCCGTGTACCCGGATCACCCCCCCCCCCTTTCACCCCTAGTTTTCATTGTATAGGTGGTTGTGGTTGAAAATCAAAGTTTCACCAGTTGTAGTCTTCAGGGTGCTGAGTCGAATGGTCTTGGTCCGAGGAAGCCAAGACACTCCCTTCCTCCTTTATTCCCAATCGAACTCTCCACTTCCAGCGAAACTAGGTAACTGCGCCCTACTAGAAGGGGACGTGTATGCAAAAGTGCCATTTCGTTCTTATAAAAGCACAGATGACCGCGATTGGCCCATATGTTGTATAGTCATGTAGTCTTTTGGATTCTGAGTCAACTGGTTTTGATCCGAGAAGGCTGATGCAGTGTTCGGACCTTATGCCCAATCAAACATGGATAAATGAGCGGTCACGTGCTCATGCGTACACCAGTCACCTGGTCACCGTGCCTGCAGGGTACAAGTAACAGCCTGTTTGGGCGCGTTCCTGTCACTCGAATTGAACCTTAGTGTGAAAGCTGTTGCCTGCAGGCACGGAGACCAGGTGACTGGTGTACGCATGAGCACGTGACCGCTTATTCAACCATGTTTTATTGGGAATAAGGGCCGAACGCTGCATTGCAGCGTTCTCGGTATACTTGTGGAAAACATTAAAGCATATTGATTGCGAAGAACTTGAAGTTTTTCCTCTTCCTAAGTGTTTTTTTACGCATAGTGAGGTGGTAGAATATGAGTTGGGACGCTTCTTGCAGCTTAATTAGAACAAATTATGTTGTGGGCTAACAGTGACACCTCAAATCACACTGCTTTCTACACTTTACTCAAAATTCTTTTATTCATTCAACATTTCGGTCCATGACCATCATCAGGAAAAATAGAGGTCAAGACAACACCACTGATGCACACTACACGTACATGTGCTGGCAGAAAATTCCAAATGTGGGTACAGGAGAAAGATGGATTTCTTTCTTTCCAAAAGGTCCTAATGTAGCACCAATGGCTCAGTGATGTTCGGTATGCTAACCTACACCAAGCGGGCAATGCTTACCCTGGCCACCAAGAGTATTGCCCATTGCACAGCAAATTCCTCCTCACTTGGCAGTGCGCCAGGAGCACAAGAAAGCAGTCCTTGGATACGCTGCGAAAAGTTGTAGTGCTCTCCAACTAAGCTGCCGAGCAGGGGAATCAGTTTCTAGGACAGCAGAAAAGAAGTGCACTGTACAGCATTGCATAGGTCTGTTGAGTGCCTTGTATGCATTCAATGCGAAGAATTGTAAGCCATTGTCCCATGCTTATCAGGGGGGGGGGGGGGAATAGTATGGAAGGCAAGTATGCAATCTATCACAGCATGCGTTGTGATAGGTGCAGTGGTCCCCCCCCCCCCTCCGGTACCCCGTTCGGCTAGAACCCTGCTAGAATCCTGCTAGAGCCCTGCTAGAACCCTGCTAGAACTCTGCTAGAACCCTGCTAGAACTCTGCTAGAACCCTGCTAGAACCCTGCTAGAACCCTGCTAGAACCCTGCTAGAACTCTGCTAAAAACCTGCTAGAACCCTGCTAGAAACCTGCTAGAACCATGCTAGAACTCTGCTAGAAACCTGCTAGAACCCTGCTAGAACCCTGCTAGAACTCTGCTAGAAACCTGCTAGAACCCTGCTAGAACTCTGCTAGAACCCTGCTAGAACCCTGCTAGAACTCTGCTAAAACCTGCTAGAACCCTGCTAGAAACCTGCTAGAACCATGTTAGAACCCTGCTAGAACCCTACTAGAACCCTGCTAGAACCCTGCTAGAAACCTGCTAGAAACCTGCTAGAAACCTGCTAGAACCATGCTAGAACCCTGCTAGAACTCTGCTAGAAACCTGCTAGAACCCTGCTAGAACCCTGCTAGAACCCTGCTAGAACCCTGCTAGAACTCTGCTAGAACCCTCCTAGAAATCTGCTAGAACCCTCCTAGAACCCTGCTAGAACCCTGCTAGAACCCTGCTAGAACCCTGCTAGAACCCCACAATGCCTCTACAGTGTGCATTATAGAGACGTAAAACAGGTCTCTCAAACCAGGTGGTCTCTCTAACCAGGTGGTCTCTCAAACCAGGTGGTCTCTCAAACCAGGTGGTCTCTAAAACCAGGTGGTCTCTCAAACCAGATGGTCTCTCAAACCAGGTGGTCTCTCAAACCAGGTGGTCTCTAAAACCAGGTGGTCTCTCAAACCAGGTGGTTTCGCATCATAATGGCTGTACATGTACATGTATATGACTAGCACAAGATTGAGTGCCCTGTACTCACTCCCCGATGGGAACTGCTGAACGTAGACGATGGCCACTTCGTAGCAGGATGAATGTAGCGCAGTTGCGTAATGCCTGGTTCGTTAGAAGCTGCACAAATTGGAGGCTAAAATTGGAGGCTAAAATGTGCCTCAATTGCTCCAAATACATAACCCGAGACACGTTGAAAAGGTTAACTCATACCTCGATGCAGAATGCCTCGTTGACAATTTCCGCGTGGTCTTTTGGAAGGTCCATCTGCCACCAACGATTACACAAGCATGAGTGCACAGACATTCATTCAAACACACACAAAACACACAATGCACAGGCTCGCAAATAATAACACATGTGCATACACTATCACATGCATACATACACGTGCACACACACACACACACACACACACACACACACACACACACACACACGTACACACACACACACACACACACACACACACACATGTACACATGCATGCATGTATACAAACAAGGCCGGTCGAGGCAACTTGAAGCAGAGCCAGTGCTCGATGCACACATGTGCAGAGCAGCATACACATACAATGGATGTGACATGCCGCTGTGTAGCTGTAACTTCAAGTTTCACGCTTTCAAGAGTCAGCAGTGATCATCAGACAGCGGCATATGTTACTGAATTCTCTACAGGCGAGCCGACATACACGACATTGTATCATACGGTACCAAGAGTACATAAACCCCAAGAGTGTGCAACTCCAGCTATGGGGTCCGCGACGGCAGAACTTCACATCACGTGACGTGATGAACCCGTACGCATCATTTGCACTCTGTGCATGATAGTTGTACGAAGCCCGGCTTTGCGTACAACTCTCTTGTGATCACTTTGCACTGTTTTCCAGTGTAACCTTTTGAACCATGTCACGTGATGTGAAGTTCTGCCGTCGCAGCACTGCATAGAGGTTGTGCAGGCAGTTGCACACTCTTGGGGTTATGTACTCTTGACGGTACACTTTGTTGCCGACATGCGACCGTAGATGTACGCAGCCAAGTAAGTAAGAAACCGGAGAACCAAAATACACAATAATTATTGAGTTCAAAATGTTTCGTGTAGATGTTCTCCAAGGGCTTTCATGTATTAGCGATGGATGAAAGAGATGAAGACCCAATAAGCGAGGTCAGATTATTTGCATCCCAATCTTGCATTACTTTACTTTGTAGCAGGCAGGCATAGTGGGATGGTCTAAGACCATGATTGAGAAACAGAAGGTACCAGGCTCAAGTCCTGCTTGGAAGCGGAAGGAATTTTTCCAGCCGTGCTGCGACCCACAGTTAATTGGGAACTTGTGGCCTGGCATGAGGGTAACATGGATGCAGCTAATGGGATTTCGGTCTTTGACCACTTGGTGGTGGGTCTGATTTACTCACCTCCCACCGTTTAGGCGCTGCATCTGCGCCTTGATCCTAGACGGTGGTGGCGTTCCCATGGCGGATGCGGAAAACTCGGCTTCCAGCCGAGTCTCACGCGAACCGTGAAATTTAATTTTAATATCTACCTTACTTTACTCCCTACCACTTAAGAATTTCGACTTGGATGGTGTTTTGGACAACAACTACTTCGGTACGAATAACAGGTAAACCTTTGGTCCCTTACTTTAGAATTTAGACGTATGGTATCTGAGACCTTACCGATGGTAATGCCAGCTGACTGTTGTATCCAGTCAGGAGCTCCGATAGTACAGCCGTCATGAGGTCAACAGCCAGTACGGCATAGAAGTCAAAGGCAATGTCGGTGTTGCAGAGTGGAGACAGCATCATTGCCAGACAGCTAGAACAAAGGGCATGGATGCCCTCGGTTCCGCGACAATCACTCTCCAGTGCCACAATAGCGTCCATCACCAGCGCTTCCAGACCGGTTTCCACAAGGCCACCCTGGGCCAGCACTAGGCTGTCTTCGAGCACCGAGGTCAACGTGTGCTCAAAGGCCTTGTTTGCGAGGGGTCCAATCATCAGTTGCGGATACTCTTCAGGTGGACTCAATGAGGAACTGGTCTGATTATTTGGTCTGTCGATGTTGTGCTGCATGATTTGCAAGCTCCAGCTCTCGTCTGGAGAGTTCAGGCGAGCGTACAAGAGTTCCTCATGCGTGGCTAGGTGCAGTTGGCGGACCGCCAGTTCTCCTTTGCTGCACGGGTCAGTGACATACGCTTGAGAAGTCTTGCCAAGGTTATGCTGCACTCTCTCCAGGAAATGGATGCTGTGGTTGACTTTACCAGCACGCCACAGCACCATTGCATACTCTAGCATGATAATTGTGTCGCATGGTACACTGGACGAGGCCTCCTTGCGATCAGCATGAGCATCATTGTGGCTTCCTATGCATTGAGCTGTTTCCAGAGCTGCTTCATACCAGAGTAGGGATGTATCCCAAAGTGCAATGCAGAAGCACAGTCTGGACGTCCACAGCTGCAGCGACAGCTTTTCATTGTCCAGGCAGCTGAACAAATCTCCACAGAGAAAGCCCTCCGTGGCTGCAAGCAGATTGTGCATCGGTTGCCAATTCAGCAAGCCATCGGAGAAGTTTGGTGCATGGCACACCAGTTGCTTGAAGCCATCGTGTAGGATAACGCAAATACCGTGTTGGATTTGACTAGCGGAAATCAAGCCGTCGAGTACAGCATGTCCGGAGCTGTGCATTACCTCCTTTTGAACCAGTGGAGGAACTTCAATGCGCTGGCTCTGCAGGTTGAAAGATAATAGACCATACTCACACAGTCTATCAAGGGCATTCTGCCGCCGGCTGGCCATTTCGGGTGAGGAATCGACAAGGAACCGTTCTATTGGCGGGGTATTTCCGTAGTCATAGTCGGAGAGCCTCGTGCCAGTGAACATTGACCAGGATATGCTAGCGGTCTTGGAGCACAGCGACGCGATCGAGTAGAGCAGAGCCCGGGAGTCGCCTGGCAGCTGCGGTATAGCCTTCTCCAGCAGTGCCCGTGGTCCAGCGTTGTGGAAGGCGAGTGTGTATCCGACACCCGTGCCCTGTGCAGGGTGTCCAACGGCCACCGCTGGGGGTGCAGCCCAGTTAAACATGGACCTCGTCGCGGTGACCAGTTCTGGAGAGCTGCTCAGCGTTGTTGCAATGGCGGCGATGGTCAATGGATCCACCATATTCCTCTGCATGGTGAACCTGTACTTGTCAGCATCAATTACCAGGTCAGCTAAGGCCCTGGGGTTCCTCTGCAGCATTGAATAGCGGGACATGAGCTGCCTCAGGCTGGTGCACAGCTCTAGGGGAGGAAGCTTCTGCAAGCTGACTGTTGGTCCAACAATCTGAGACCAAGTGCAAACATCAGCGCAGTGGCTCGTGCACAGTATGGCGCAGTTCCTCAACGTGCCGCACGCCAAGCTAGTGGTATTGAACTGAGACGGTCGATTTAGACCATCGATGACGAACAGTACGCACGGGGATGCATCACCGGTTTCCTGGCTGCCCTTGTCATGGTCCTCCACTTCATATCGATGTTGAACTAGGTGCAACATGGCCTGAACCCTTCTCATGGATAACTCAAGCAGAGCCCGTGATGATCCCAGTATCCAAAACTGAATCGGGAATTTATCGCGCAGTACCCTGGCGACTTCGATTGCGAGAGCCGTCTTTCCGCAGCCAAATCCACCGGCGACGACTGTAACGTGGTGTGGTTGGATATCGTGCAGAATGCTCTCCATCTCCTTCTGCCGACCAATGAACTGTGGTCTCGCTCTTGGTTGTTGAATGAAGTGCCGTTTTGTTTGATTCATGTCTTGATCTCCGCTAGTCGACGGCCGTGTAAGCTTGCATTTGGCCACCGTCGACGGGTGTCTGCCCTTTAGAGCTCGCGCTACTGGCGCTACAGAGTCCAGCAATGATTTGAGAAAGGATCTTTCCTCAGCCTGCCTCCCATACAGCTCCACCAGGTGGAGAGCTTGGCGAATTCCGTTGCGGACCGTGTCAGGATTGGCCTTTGCACAGTGGAAAGCGATCTTCCTCATAGCTTTGAGGGCATCCAGCTTTGGACCATGGCCTCCTCCCAGAGCGATTTCCTGCACTATGTTTCCAGGTAGTTGCTCAACGAGGTGCAGTGCTTGGGAGGAAATCATCTTCAGAACTAGGCTCGGAGAACAAACGAAGCTCTGGTCGACACCCGTTGTACCCTCCATGCACAGCTGTTTAACCAGCTTGAGAGCGGTGTCGAATGCATATCCGGGACTGGGTGTAGCACTGCTAATTGGTGCTGGTATGTTGCCGTGATCTCTGTAACTGTCGACGCTTGCTTGTGTGCCGTCTGGTGCTGAAGAGTCGGGCCACAGCTCTGCCATTGCCATGAGAGCATCCAGAGCTGTTTCTGCAGTTACATCTGTACTCTTGTGGGCGTACTGTTGACGGAAGGCAAAGATAGTGTACGATAGATGCTGGATCCACTCAGACACCTCATCATCAGAGAGGCCGTTGTCGTATCGCTTCTTGTAAACCGAACAGCCCGGCAGTCTGAATGCTCCTGATATCTGCCCAATGTTGAAGTGCGCGGCGGATTTCGGGTTTCCATGATCCCATGCCTGGAGTTGATTCGCTCTTGATCCTCTCGTCAGAGTTGCAGAGGATCTATGAAGTCCGACTAGAAGCGAAGTCAGTGAATTCATGTCAAATACTCCATCACGACATGTTGGCAGCTTGCATCCTGACTTGCTATTCACTTGGAACATCGTCTCTTGACAGAAGGTTCTCCAGTCAGCACCGAATAATGCCAGCAGAGCGTCGTACATCTTCGGTGACCAGCAGCGCTCAGCGCTATCGAACGATGCGTCCACAGCGCAGAAGAGAATGGACCTTGGCGAGGTGAAACACAGCAGGTCCCGGTCGCCATGTTGCGAGCATTGAAACGCGGACATCTCGCTGGTCTGAACTGGTGAAAGTCCGCGTTTGCTTCTAAAATAACTGCTAAATCTAAAAGCTGCTCCGGCAGGCACCGCTTCGGCGTCGCGTTGGTCGGCGCAACTCGGTCACACAGTCACAGTGTGTATAATACTATCCTCTCATTTTCTTCTGTGCTAACAGGTACATACATCTACCCTAAACCAGTAGATCTATGATCCCAAATTTCGATGGGTAGATCTACCACGAAGTCCTTCAGCTTCGACAGATCGTGCGACTGTGACCTACCCAACTCGTCGATGAGTGGGCTGGTCCGCTGTGGCCTGTGGGGGACTTGTGATTAGACTTTAGAGACGTCGGCGCGACGATCCGGGAATGCGGGATTCCCTGCTCAAACCAGTTGTTTGCTGCGCTGTGCAAGAGCATTGCGCACGTACATAATTGTCGGCGTTGTTTGGCGGTCCCTGTGAAAGATTACCTCCGCACCCGTCCTCGAAGTCTACATCCAAACAGGGGGCAAACTGTTACTTGCTGTTGGAAAGTCGCGGAAGCTTGGCGGAAGTAACACAGTCATTAATGTTTGGAGCCCGCACACCTGCTCGGTAGTTACAAGGGATTGTAGGTATAAATGTAGTACTACATTGTAGTAGTACTAGTACTACTGCCCCAGTACTACTGGTACAGTAGTTGAGGGTTGCATACTTGTAGGGAGCGTTCGAATTGTCACTCTCTTACTTTTCGAGGAGTTTTGTTTTTCTGAAGAGGTGGCCTCGATCTGATCCAACGTCATTATCCCCATGACAATTCCACTGAAAAACTCTAAAAATTAATGATAGAAACCGTTCTATTGGGACACTTCAACTAATCTAATTAAAAAATGTGTTCGAAAAGTTGACGAACGTCGAACGCCCCCTTTATAAAGCCGTGTTGTGTAGACTCAGACTCAGAGCCGGCGGCAGGCAGTACAGTCATTTCGTCAACACTGTGTTAAATTAAATATTTGACTTGTCTTTGGACTTCAGTGAGAAGTAATTAGTTGTCTTTCATAACAGGCAAGTACATGTACAGTATGTATCCTGGAAAGTGTCTATTACAATAATTGTTACTACGGTATCCGTACATTGTACAGTCAGACCTCGCATAATAGCACACATCCGTTTTCCAGGAAAAAATCCGGATAGGCGAGGGAACCGGATAATCGAACACACATACTGTGTGTGCATGGCATATGCTGTAAATCGGTAACCAACGATTTTCTTCCGGATGGCGAGGGATCCGGATAAATGAGGACCGGATAAGCGAGGTCTAACTGTACAAAAGTAAAATGGGAACAACGTGGGTTGACGACAACACTGTCACTGGTCAACACTCTGCATCAGAAATACATGTAATAATTATTATTTTTCAACCTTCCGCGGTCGACCGGTCAAGGAGTCGTCAAGTACCGGTATTTTGACGACTCCCTGCTACATGTATTTGACGACTCCCTGCTTCCGGTTTATACTGTCAGGTGGGTATGGAATGCATGCAGCGCTAGCGGTACAGTTTATGAAAAATGTTGCAAACCATGGTCATTGTCAAAAGGTCATACATGTACATGTACATGATTGTATACAAGTCATGTACATGCAATTGTTAGATTGACAGCATGAAACAAGGTGGAGGACACTGTGTTCGGAAACAGTGACCTTACTACAACCTTCCGCGGTTGGCAGAGCCCCCGGTCCCTGCGGACCATTTGAACCATATATCGCACCCGGTTCTGACCCTCATTATGCTAGGGGGTTAGGAGACTACTCCTGATGTCGTCTTGCTTTCTTCGCTCTTTTCTTTAACTTACATGTATATAAAGACTTCTTTTTCTTTTTTCTTCCAACTTCTGCCCATGGCGTCCTTCTCTCAGCTCGTCAACTGTCAACAGGTTTTTTGTCATCACCATGACACTGTCGCGAGAAGGTGCTCTCTGTAGACGGGGTTGGTGATGTCCCGACGTGGCCATGGGTAGGCCTTCACCACGTCGGAACACCCCGGCTACACGTTGGTTACCTCCACTCGTTAACCTGCCTGCTGTTGATGCTGCCACGCAAACTAGTACAAGTAGTACTGGTCAAGAAACTTGAGTTTCATCTGCATGTACAACTGAACCTAAGCAACTGCTTCAATTTTGCTACACGTTGGCTACCTTCATCAGTACCGCTTGGAAATAACTCGTATGTTGTTGATGTTGTCACCGACACGTTAACTTGAACTGTCAAAAAAACTAACTTGAATTTCATCTGCAAACCTAAACAACTACAAGTGCCTCTATTTTGATCATGCAGTTTTGTTAGTTACTGTACGTGCATACCCTCATGTACATGTAGTGTGTACAGTGCTGGCAACTGAAATCCGACCCGGGTGCGCCGCGCCGCCCGGGGGGTCGGATTTCAGTTGCCAGCACTGTACTTGTAGACAGACTAGCTAGGCAGTGGAGGTGTTGTGCGTGCACTAGGCCTTTAAAAAGCTTTCCGGATTATGTGTTTGCATATTTTTGCATTTTGGGGGTCAAAATGCATTTTGTCCATTTTGGCCTACATGTACTTTGGGCCAGGGAGTCGTAAAATACCGGTATTTTACGACTCCCTGCAAGTGATAGGTACCAGCAAGAGTACATAACCCCCCAGAGTGTGCAACGCCGATCCAGCTCTGTGTAGGGTCTTGGTCGAGCGGAATCGGATCTTCTGATGTCATGCGTACACTTCACACCAGCGCAAGGCCGGTCTCGAGGCAGGGCACCGTTGTCTTTGATCCAAGAGTACCCGCGACTCCCCGGGTTCCCCTCAGATGTGTACGGTATTATGACGCAAAGATCCGATTCCGCTCGACCAAGACCCTACACAGAGCTGGATGATGTGGATCAGGCGTTGCACACTCTGGGGGGTTATGTACTCTTGGTACCAGGGAGCCCTACACATATGTGTAGGGCTCCCTGGTCGCACATAGATCAGCCGCGCGCGGCGAGTCGAGTGACGTCATGACGTGTGTACATGTAGTGCAATATAGTACTTCTGAACTAGTGCAGTAGTGGGTGTCGTAAATGGGAATGACTGTACATGTAGCAGTAGTCTGTTACTGTTTTTTTTTTACTGTGATAAAGCCTCTTGTACGGGCAAAAGCAACACAATGATGAGAAACCAGGGTATGATAGGAAGATAATATTAAAAATACTACACAGGTGTGGAAAATATGTCTCCGGAATGGCGAGAGTCACACTAAAACACAAATGGTTTTAGATCCGGCTTTCAACCACTGCCAGCTCCCTGAGCTCGTTAGCTGGACGATGGTATGCCGACCGAGACCCACGGACACACATGACAGCGGACCGGAGCAGCGCGAAAGACAGCCTGCAGCGCACATATGCAACATGGTGTGCATAGGGCATGCTGGAATCAGCCCTGGCAAGCAAGCCACAGAGGCGCTTAAGGAACCTTTCACATTCAGGGGCGGCAACACCAGAAGTTGACAACACCAGCGGGCTGAATGTGCCACGATCCACATTGAGGATTCGCTCTCCGTACTGCAGCTTCTTCTGGCGCTCGTGCTGAAGCAGTAGGGCATCCAGTGGTTGGGCCGAGTAGGACGCCGCATCAGGATGGAAGACGCGTACATCAAAGAAAGCATCCTGTGCTCGGGTCCAGAAGCCACGGGCACGGACATCAGCGCGGGCATCCTCGGCGGTGTTTGTTGATGCAGCCATAAACACCTCTCCAGAGAGCGGGGCTAGCTGAGGCTCGATTGCCACTGCGTGGCAGACCTCCGTGAGTAGCTCCCCTACCATGTCACGGACTTCGTTATGGCGGATTGTAGGGAAGCCACCCCGGGGGCAACACATGGCATGAGCAGTGGAGAACAGAACTCCGCAGGCACACATCGTGGGGACATCGAGGAGAGGCCAGTCATACCGCAATGCAAGGCCGTTCCTGAACTCCTGCTTCGAGAGGTGGAACCCATGTTCCTTGAGAGGAAGAGCAGTGAGCCAGGAAGAGGGGCCTTTGCGGGACAGCTCATCCATACGACGGGCCAAGGGGCGGTCCGCAGCTTCTCGGAGAGCAGCGAAAGAGGCAGCACTAGCTTTCTTGGAGGACTTGGCAGCAGATGCTCTCTCACGGCGGGCTAGCTGATCCACAAAGTCGCAGGCATGATGCTGCCACTCTCGATCGTGCTGGTGGATGATCTCGTCAACCTGGCTGCTCGTGATGACTTGGGAAGCCTGCAGTTGGGAGGTAGCAATTTCTTTGAAGTATGGCAAACCGATTCCACCGAGCCGGCAAGGTAGCCGTAGAAGAGAGAGGTCATCCGCCGTGAATGTGCGTTTCCCTGTCAGAGCCGGAAGGAAGTGCTCCGTGACCGTGTCATCCAGGCGCTGCAGCTGTTCAGCTGAGAACTCCAGTGTACGAAGGAGATATGTCCATCGACCACGCAATCCGTGTGTGAGGGCGGCATACGCCGCATGAGGTTCGGTAGTGGCAATCTCGGACAGTCGCATAAGCTCCTGCTGCCAGTCTTGTACTTTCCCAGCTGTATAGCCAGCGATGAAATCCGGTGTCCCTATAGCGGCACCCAGGTAGCGTGCTCCATCCGTGACCACTTCAATGCCAGTTCCTGCAAAGACACTGTGGGCCAGGTTGAGCAGGTCAGGCTTGACGAGGAGGAGAGTCTTCGAGGCGTTGACATGGTAACCGTAAGGTTTCCCGGTCTCGTCCACATCATCCCACCAGCGTCGAAGGGCCCGTAGTTTGCCTGCACCACTTGAATCATCGGCATACCACAATTGACGGATGTTGGCGTGGGTAGTGCGGAGGTGCCGTACGAATGGTAATGTAGCGAGGGCATAGAAAACCATCGACAGAGGGTCACCTTGTGTGGTACCCTCTGCGGAGGAAAGCTCACCACCGCCAGAAACGAAGAGGCGGGCATCATCTTGGTAGCAGTTCAGCAGTGTGGTAGCCAGGGAAGGACACAAGTGGCGAACATTGTGAAGAGCTGCTTGGCGGTTCAGGCAATTGAAGGCATTCTTTGCGTCAACTAGTAGGACTCCTTCAGTTGTGGCGTCCTCATACAAGCGCTTCATGGTGTGGACCGCTGCTTCTATCCCAGCTGGCAATCCAGAACACTTCTGGAGAAAACCACAGGCCTCCATTACATCGTCTGACGTTACTCGGAGAATGGATTTGGCTAGAATGCGACGGAGGACCTCAGACACCCCAATGGGCCTGACACCTGGGTTCTTGTCCAGGGCAATTAGACGACAGGCGGTGAAGGGGGTAAGAGAGTCTGGCGGCAAGGTTTGTGTTGCTAGCAAGCGGCCGAAGGACGCCATCGCCGAGC